CACCGTATTCGCCGAGGCGCGAGTTGATGGTATGGACCGGGGTACCTGGAAAGGGGAAGACCGATATTTTCTTTGTAGACCCCGACTGAAGGTGAGCGCTGGCGGTTACATCAAGTAACTCGAGAAGAATATCCTCCCTACATGTGGTCGCCCGTACCTTCTTGGAGACCTTGTGCTGCTACAGGTTTGGGTGCCACCACATGGAATCGAAGGGTTTTGGAAAAACTCCCGCCTACTTCGAATGGAAGGGCGTTTCGTACCTGAGAAGATGTAATATTGAAGTATGTCCCCTGACCTGAACCCACTCAATTACCTAGTTCGGGCGGAGTTCAATAGGGTGGTCTACGGTGGCGGAGAAATCGACTATCTCGCTGATCTCAGGTACCACATCGCGGTCGCGTGCCAGAATCTCTCGATGGCGCTCCTCCAGAAGGCTGTGGCGGAGTATCATTATAGTATTTAATGTGCTCTTTAATATGGTAGTAAAAATGTCCGATAAAAATTTAATAAAGTGTAACTTATAGCGCCTTGAAAGTCATGGAGGCAAAATGACTTTTTTTTGGCCCCCCCCTGTATAGGCGACCGCAGATGGAAAGTGGTGATTGACATCAGTCTGCGTGACTAGGCAGCACCTACCATCCCATAACCCCCCCCCCTCAAACCCATACTCTCGAAACACAAGATGCCGGCGCCTGTCGTTTGCGCGTTCGCAGAGGACAAACGATTGGCGCCGGCCGGCTGCGGCTTTCACGTCTATAGCTTTGGAGCGCAGTTTCAACTGTAACGCGTCGACGCGCGTTATAGCGCATCATGGCGCGTCGGCGCCCGTCACAGCGCGTCCACGAGCGTCACAAAGTCTGAACACTGACGTAAAGGGCAGAAGGATTAAGTCTTCGCCGTCACTCAAAACGGGGAAACGTTTGTCGGTGTAAGAGCTGGTTATCGCAGTTCTTAATGGACATTTTGACCTTGCACTTGCACGAAATACCCTACCAGTAAAAAGCCATCCCGCTCGCGTGGGAAATTAGGGATAGAAGCTTGAAGTCTCCCGTTGGTGAATTCTTTGTGGATGCGGCACGCATTCTACTTCCATTCAGAATCGTAGTGGCTTATTGAATGCGATGTGGCCTATACAATGACTTGCGGGGGCCAGCCGATGTACAAGTCAGTGTTTTATCCTCCCAGACGAATCTGGTACCAATTCCCGGAGGGTAGAAGGCTTGGTTGGCCTGGGCGGGTGTCGACCTGGGATTCGAACCCAGGACCGCGCGAGTGGTACACTCTACTTCGCTGCGGACGGTTGGGCGTGTCAGCCAGTATGAGTGTGTCACCCTCTTTGAGCTGTTCTCTGCCTTCTTGTTGAAACGGGCATGCGACAAAAAGCAGTAGAAAACAAGTAATACGAAAGGTATGATACAGTATTGTCATTTGCTCGCTTGAACAACTCGTGGAGAACGAGTTTGGCACCGCGCCAAACGCAGCCGCACGAACACGCCCAACCGTCCGCAATGAACTACACTATAAGCGCGCCACATGTCACTACACCACCTCCGCCTCAACGCTTTTTAATGCTGATTTACTACCATGAATTAAGGGAGGCAAATGGGCTGCCTGCCACATGCGTGCGATTCGGCCGACAAATAACAAATTGGCTCTCGCCCGAGTCAAACAAAGAGTCTCTCTCCCCATGGCCGTCGTACTATACTCGTCTGGGAGGACGAAACACTGCAAGTAATTGAACTGGTTGGTTAAGGTTTCTGTAGACGCTCACATTAGCAGCCGGGTAATTTTTTCTATTTTGTTTCCAGCACAAAGAATTAAGACAGTTTTCAGGACTATTCCTGAAGGTTTCCATCTCACATGCGCCTCATTTTTGTGCGTGCCCCTTCCTTAGCACTAGATGAAAATGACACTGCTCCTTAGAGATGGGACAGAAATACGAAAACTGCAACAAAGTGTCATTTCTGAATGAACTGGACTTCAAGTAACTCCAAAAATTTTCGAATTGTTACGAAAGGCAAAACACTCAACGCATAGCCAACTCACCTTTTGACCGAGAAGCAGCTCTGGTGCGCGATACCACAATGTTACAACAACGGCCGTGTACGCTCTCAGTGGATCACCATACTCTCTAGCGAGACCGAAATCGGCAATCTACAAATATCATGTGTTCAATGGTTCATTGCCAGAGGTTACTTAAAGTGCTAACTCACCTTTAATATACCTTTGTGAGAAAATAACAAATTAGAAGTTTTCAAATCACGATGTAAAATCCAATTATCATGGAGGTGCTTCAATCCAGATAACAGCTGCCTCATTAATGTTTTTTGTTCGCCTGAAGCATGTTCGATCACTTAACTGAACTAAGTCACCCAGTTAACAATCAATGGCAAGTGCAAATACTGTGCGTGTGGAGAACAAGCAAAACGAACCAAATGAAAAACGTTTCCCGCGTTTGTGCATGGTATCCATGAGATTTTTCATATCATGCTCTACTGCTCTAACAAAATTCCAAATAGCCAAATATATTTTTAAATCCGCCATTACTGTCGCTAATCAATATCTCTTGTACCTGAAATGAACAAATCTGAAGTTTAAACATTAGGAGGATTAGCAAGCAACAGGATGGCACACTAACATTTACAATATTCATGTTGCTCAGGCTTCAGAAGCATGTTGATCTCCCTAAGAGCAGTGATAGGGAACCCTTCTCGCTCTTTCTCAATTTTCAGCCGTTTGAGAGCAACAATCTCATCTGAAACGACATTCAAATAACCAACAAAATTCTTAGCAACGAATAACAAAGCTCCAGACAGTAAAGGGTCTCCACAGTGTGGGGAACGATGAATGACGAAGCGCTCTACCTGTCATCTTCCACACTCGAAGATACAACAACGTAAACATTCGAGGGTCAGGCTTATCAACTCTGGCAGCTAGGTTTCAGATTGTTGTATAGAGAAACTACAGATAAATCCCACTACTGGCTTAAGATCGTCGTACGCTTAGAAATCTTCAGCGGGAGACCGTGTTTGGCCGGTGGAAACGGAGAGGTAGTATAAGCCTGTTTTTTTTTTGATAGCAGATTTTCATATTTCACGCTCGCTATCCACATAGCTGAGAGATTCCCATTCAGGGGAAGGGATCCTATTTGCTCGTCGCTCTTAGAGAGCTGTTGATATTTTCGCTGTGCTGAACCTTACGCTACATTTCCCGTTTCACAAGTGCCGTCTCTCTATATATAAACCAGAAGTTTTTTGTGCGTCTGTGCCTCTGTATGACCGCCTGAAATTGGGGTTTCGTGGAAATTCAATTAAACCAGCGTCCGCGATCAACCAAGGTGAAAAAACCCTGCACTGTACAAGATCACGGAGTCCGCAACCGCAGAGGATATCCCACTCCTGCGACTCGAAATCGATTGATAGGGAAGCGATGTCAACAATGTTTAAGCCGAACCCGCCTGTCCTGTTAATCCCGCCCCGATCGGTTAACAGTTGTCAATCCCTGCTGGCTTTGGTAATCGCTAAATTCCTAGCGTTCGTTTCTTACACTGATAGAGAGATTAACTCATAGACACATCGATTATCAACGCCAGCGCGATCAATTAGATTAGATAAGATAACCTAGGTAGTGGCCTCATGAGAATTAGCCGCAACGAGGCGGCGATATATTTTGGTGAACTCACCCAAAATCTGCGAAACTCGTCCAGATGCCTTAAAAAGAATAGGGTCTTATTTCATGTCCTTGCACCCTTTTCTTCCTACTTTTTTTGAGTAATGCTTCACTTGCCACCTGTTCTAACAAATCTGACCCCTAAAACCTGCCAAAGTCCATCGCGAGCGCTGTAGTTTACACGATAAATCCCCAAGACGACTAGGATCAATACTCCTGGCAGGATAGAATTCCGCCCTGGGCAGGCGCTGCATAGCGGTTTCCCCGAGGAAGGTGCCCTTATAAGGGCCCTATCAAGCCACAACTTTACGTCCCAAACGCCCGCCACGCCCGCCCGCCCACAAATGGACGACCGTTCCTGACGCTCGTATTCATTCATTTGCTAAGCAAATTATGAAGCGAAGGGATTGGTATGAAGCGGCCGTGATGCTGCATGCATACATGGTATACTGTAGTTCGCTGCGGACGGTTGGGCGTGTCAGTGCGGCTGCGTTTGGCGCGGTGCCAAACTCGTTCTCCACCAGTTGTTGAAGCGGGCAAGTGACAATACTGTATCATATCCTTCGTATTACTCGTTTTCTACCACTTTTTGTCGCATGCGCGTTTCAACAAGAAGGCAGAGAAAGGCTCTGAAGGTGTGAACACTCATACTGCTGACACGCCCAACCGTCCGCAGCGAACTAGAGGTACACATATGCAGCCGTATCTTCGGTAGCGGTGATTGGTAAGATGCCTACGGGAAACTCGTCCGAAATCGATTTACAAGTCACTGAGAACGGAGGCTTTTTCTTCGCAGGATTTTGACCGTTTCACTCCGTTCTTTCGCCATTTCCCCACTATACAGCGCCCTACTAGCATTTTAGGCTAAGTAGGAAACCATCGTGCCAACTGCCTTTAAAGGGTACTGATTGTGCTTGGAATAGACGTGGCATGGGCCAGCATTTGCAGAGCACACACAAGTCACCTAAGCTCCGCCCACAATGGGCGGGGCGTTCGCCGAAGTGGACGAAGCCGAGGATAAAAATCCTCAAAACGCATCCGGAGCAGCCCAGGAAACGGGGAATATGAGTGGATCTGAGCGAGTAAGTAGATGACTTGAGAGACACCCGTAGTAGTGTATTGTGTACCAAGCGGTTAGGGGCCCCATAGAATAGTTCATTCTGCAAATCCTTAACACTAATGAGGGTACCCTATAGAAAATTTCGACGACTGTCTTCTAGAGGGGGGGTATATATAACGAATGAAATGGTAAACTTCGGTCATTTTTGAAAAATATTTTTTGACGAACACGACATTGGAAAAGTTCTCGGGGCAATTAGTGTAGTGGGTATTTTCTTGAGCCTTTCCAATACCCGGAAAAAAAATCCCCACTTCAGACGCGGAAGGAGGATCGCCCATTGAAGCCGAGCGATCCGACCGGTATATCATTATACCCGCCCGACATCGATACCTTTGTTGAAGAAAAACTGGAAAATTGGGAAATTTCGGAAAGGTTTTGGAGTTGGGAAAAAATAGTAAGTTTTCAGGTGAGAAGGGGAAGGGGGGCTGGTACCAGAAGAAGAATTCGGGGGGAGTATTTTGCGAGAAAATTTGCCAGCGAGAGAACGTGCCTTGTTCTGATTCATCTTTTCGCAATCTTGTCCGTTGTATTGACGAGCAAGTTTTCATTCACCCGAACTGGGCAGGATCCCAAAAAAGCGGCTCTCGGAAACTAGCACAACGCCATCCATGATCTCCTGTTACGGATGACAACATGAGCTGGAGCTTCAAAACACATCCCGAGAGCAGGTGATACTTAGAATACGTTCTCACGTTTATTAGCCACGTCCGCAGTAGCAGAGTGTACCACTTTTCTCATTAGATCGTGTGAGATGATAGCGCCGGATAGCTTGCAACCATTCGGATCTGCGTGTGTCACTTTTACCTGCACGACAACGATCAACACGGCGAAAAGTCGCGCCTCTCTTGCCAACAGCGTAAGGTACAACTATTTCTCGTGCTCTCACGGGATTGCTAGCGCGTTAAGTTTTGCCGCCTGCATCCCTGCTCACTGGTCGCTCTGTTTCCCTTGGATACGCGATACAGCTTTCGAGAAAAACGCACGCAGTCAATAGCATCTACTTCCCAAAAAAGAATAGGTTGCAGCATTGCTTCGATTCGCCACTTACACTGGACACATCATTGCAATAGTATGTAGGATGACCGCAATCCCAACGTTGATCACAGAGATTTCTTATTCTTAAAGTTGGATGAGATTTGGTTCTGGATGGATGCCAAGAAATGATCTGCGAGCAGACAGAAGCACCGCGGTCGCAGAATGTCGATTAGCCATTAAGTCTAAAAAACCCTTTACACTGAGACTGCGGGACTGCTGAAGAGGTCTTTGATTAGCGTTTTGATGTTTTTCTTTACCGTAGAGTAACTGAGCGAGAACGGTACATGACTGAGCACCACTTCCCATGAAACTTAATCGCGGGACGTTCTTTGCAGAGTAGCACGAGAAACCAATGGATCAAGCAACAT